AAAATCGACTAATAAGTCTCAATGCTGAACATGAATTTCCACCGAGGTCATGTGATATTACGCCGTGTGATTTCTTTTTGTGGCCTTACCTTAAAAACACTATTTTTGAACTGCCTATTCCTGATTTAAACCATCTGCAGGCTCGACTTATAGACAAGATTCGTGAAATTAACAATACCCCGAGCATCTTAGAAAATGTCTTTAATTCTTTGAGGAACAGGTGTGAAAAGTGCTTGGAACAAGGAGGGGGACACTTTCAGCAGCTGCTTTAATTAATTGTTATAACAAGGAGGGGGACACTTTCCGCAGCTCCTTTAATTGTTTGTTATTGTTATCACGATTATTCTTTAAAATAAAGTTATATAGTCATTAACGTTATTGAAACTGACAGCTGCTATACAGCACGTTGAGAAATGAGGTTAAGTTGGTCGCTATAAGCTACTCTCTACGTCCAATGTGTCAGAGCCAACTTCGACCATGTTTTTATTTGAACGCTCGTTATATAAAATAAATGTAATACATAATAATGACAAATACATCATTTGTGACATTTAAGGGCATTGACTACCATGACCTCTGGATCGTGATCTACAAATATCAAAATTTGTGAGCAATCATCAGATCTAACTTTGTCGTGCATCTTATAAAACCAATACTGAAACTAAGCAAGACAGTTCATTGTACCACTAACGAAAATGCTGGCTGCAAATTGTGGGTATTACATTTTATCAACAATTTCTGTTACCATGATATCTGTGGTAATCTAAGTCATTGTTCAATGGTTTAATTGTAAATTCCATTGCTAAGTCAGTCATTCATGGCAATGTTCTGTTGTGGTTGTTTGTGAAGCTTGTGTTTATTGTTTTCTTGTATGATTTTCTGTTATTTTAGAATTTAGATATTCTTTTGTGTTTTACCATGTAGTGTAATTATGTAATTACAGACGTTATCAATGGTGCTTACATAAATGGTGTAATAAATGTTTTCATTTAATGTTTTCCTCAATTATTTCCCTTATATACTCACAGAGATAAATTACATTACATTATCAAATATTACTGAATGATAAATACCTTGAATGATAAAACAAATGTTTATATCTACCTTTGCTCTATATTTCTCCAATTCCTCATTAGAATGTGCAAATGTGCAATTAGTGCCCCTAGGGCAACTTCCTCTTAAAGTTAAATCACGACACATACTAATTTTATATTTAGCATGTTGAGAATGGGTTGTATCCTGTAATTTTCTACTGCCATGCTGATGGATGAATTCCACTAAACCTGCCACAACCTGTCTTACTGCTGCTAAACATTCACTACATTCACTCCATGAGGGAGATGGTGACTCTGAAAAATAAAATCTATTTAATTTTTTAACATTAAAAATTTGTAATTATTTAAATAAATGAAAGTAGATTTAAGGTAGTTATATCTCAAGTACAGAGCGCAGCTGTGTGTGACAAAGATTGATGGAAACTTATTTATTTATTTATTACAATCATTTGGCAAGTTTTTAAAAATTTTTGCAGGAATCAGCCTAATTGTATCATTTATTTTATTAGTTTCTTTAAACGAAAAATGCAAACTGAAACAAAAAATGTTTGTTAAAAAATCTGTAGAATGACAGAGCACGAGCAAACTAACCGTTCTTCAATGTGCGACGTTTCCGCGTTTGATTTATGTGAATAATCACATGAAAAACTTAAAAGTTTAAGTATTAATATCTTTAATCCTAGCTGACCAATCCTTTCCAGATTGTTATATATACAAATTAATTAGTCTTGCCTAAAATTTGAACAGTTTCTTGAATGAAAACATCATTAAGCCTTACTAAACATAGCCAACTTTGATTAAGCATAACTCAGAAACTATGTGGTAAAATGAACTGAAATTTTGCAAAAGTATCTATCAGGCGCATAATTAATTATGCTGAAGGTTTCGTAATTATCTGGAATAGTGTCCATTTAGGTGATAGCTACTACATTAACAAGTTACATGATATTTGTTTCAAGTACAATGGTTTGTTGGGTCGTTATGCCGAATCTTTGACCTGATCTCACAGCGACTCAGTTGCGGTGAAGCTTTCACATTCACCACTGAAGATGCCTACAGTGAAGAATGGCGAAACATTAGTGGCCTTAGAATCACTAACAAGAACCGAAGTAAACATCAGGGCAAGCCTAGAGGTCTAATATCCTAAGATCTAACCCGAGAACAAGGGCAAGTCAAAGATTCCTAGTTAAGCTGAAGTCTGTATAAGACTGTAATTGGCAGCGAGCAGTTATACATTTCATGGCATAACAATCCGAACAATCATGGTACTTTAAATATCAGCGAAAGCCATAAAACTGCTAAAATCTTTTTTCCTTACAAATTCTCTCGGTTATAAATATTACAAATTATGAGTAAATTAAATCAAGGTAACTATTTATTTACATCTGTAATTCATATAATATTCATGAATATCAATTAAAATATGTATTAAAAAAATTGTGGATGTATAGGTAACGGAACCTTAACATTTTATAAAATTCCTTTGTAATGTAATAAAAACTAAATAAAATAATGTGTTATAACCTTGTGGTATAATAAACTTAGCTAAGAACACATTATTGTATTAGATTGTGATGTCACAAGTTAATACATTTTGCACGTCTATTACATTATTTTATATAGTAACATACACTATGGGAGTTTACAAAAATTAACTCCTAGTGATTGAAAAGATCATTCAAAATACCTGAAATTTCTAAATTCCTAATTATATCATTGTCAGAAGGTGAAAACATGCTTAAATAATGACATCAATTTCAATATCTAACAATCCCAAATAGCCTCAGATACATCAGCCATCATTCTTAGTTATTATTTAAAATACCTAGCCAATGATTTAAAACTCCAGTAACAACTAGTTTCAATGCAGAAATCTGAAGAAAATCTTCATATCACCAAAAACAAACACCCCAAAGGGAATAAAAAACTACTATGTCCACGTAGTTATTCCTGGGTAGTGCTAAAAGTAGTTAATCTTAAGTAGTAGTCAGTCTTTTGACCTTAAAATGACCTTGATATCTGATCTTGTTCTTGAGGTTAAGTTCGAGGTCAAAATAAAGGGTCCATTTAAAATTTTGAATTTGATCCTCAAACGACCTTGAAGTCAAGGTAATTTTCAAGGTCATGTCAAGAGGGCCCCCTTTTCCCCCTACAAATTTTGTATTAAACATTTTTTTTAAGTGATCCCAACAAGGTACTCCATTGTCTCGAGATTTTTGTTTTTTTTCTTTTTTCATGGCCATTTTATGGCCAAAATATGGGTTAAATCAATAAAATAAGAACAAAAAGTTTTTTTCGTTTTTCAATTGAAATCAGTGGTAAAAAATGGGTGTTTCTATTTAAAAAAATCTACTTCTGGTCTAAAAACACCACTTTCAAGTCAATCTGGTCCTTTCAATAGTCCCCTCGATGCCCTACAACAGGGGTGCTCAAACGGTCGATCGCGATAGCATCAGAAGTTCAAACTGAATTATAAAGCAACCACCTTTCGTCAGTCACTCATACGTCTTCTGTGGAAAGTGGGGTATTGCAGATGATTTCATACATCTCAAAGCAAGAGTAAGTGATTCAAAATTTTGGCCTTTTATATCTGAAGATAAATATCCAGGTTTAAAACAAATTGCGCTTCAAGTAACCGGATTGTTTGGATATCTATGCAAATGTGTGTTTTCTGGAATGAAAATAATTAAATGCAAATATCGCAGTCGACTTACTGAAAAACACGTCATCGTGTTTGCGATAGTCAATCAGCAATTACGTGCCATCTTATGAAAATTTTTTTTTAGTTACATTGCAGTTTTTTGTATCTAGTTGGCCAGTAATCAAATAACGACAGCCCCCCCACTCAAATTATTTTTTTTTGTGGAAGATCGCCAAGTCTGAGCAACCCTGCCCTACAGTTTTTGTCTGAAACTTTTTTTTCGAAATAATCGAGTCCAACCGAGATATTATTTTGTCTTAAGATAAATGCCCCACCCAGTATATCTATGAATTATAATTATAATTATATAGCTAAAAGATAAATGACGCTTTTAAAATGACCACAATATCCTGAAAGCGTGCAGTTACAACATTTTTCCAGTGATTAAATATACTTGGAAAATGTCAGGATTTTCTTGTATTTGTTCCTTAGCATCGAAAATCCATTGACAAATAAATAAAAATCTATTTTTACTAATTGACCTATTTATAGTATCAAATAGACATACAATAACTAGAGAATCTTCATGAATATTTTTATTAGTTAACTTTACTTTTTATTGCATGTTTTTTTATCATACTCATAATTCTTTACTATTTTTTTCTTGAAAATTGACACGATTAGGACACGACTACTTTTCACTTATTTTGACCTAAGCTATCACATACAATAATTCTAGTTATGAATGCTAATTACTTTTTTTATGAAATGTAGTTTTGAAAAGTACTCTAATACCATCATCTAGTTAGCTTTTGTTGTACCTGTTTCTATGATTGTTAAATTCCGAAATTTAATAAATTGTATTGAAAACATATATTTTTCAAAAAATAAACACTAAATTTATGTACTAGGTAGATAACTAAACCAGTAATCCTATCATAAATAATATTGTTATGACACAAACCAAGTCATAGGAGTAGTCGAGGGGTAGTGTGTGGCCATACCTCCTCTCCCAAACTCCAGANTCCGGGTTCGATCCCCGGTGTCGGCACTGGCAATGTCGATGGATAATGGGTGTTTGTCCGCGTTTTTTCAAGTGTAGCCCCCTTCCGCACAAGCCTTTGGCTTTGGATTTGGGGGTTGTCTCATTTCTGTGGTGTGTTTTATGTTTTATTTGAACAGTTTCTTGAATGAAAACATCATTAAGCCTTACTAAACATAGTCAACTTTGATTAAGCATAACTCAGAAACTATGTGGTAAAATGAACTGAAATTTTGCAAAAGTATCTATCAGGCGCATAATTAATTATGCTGAAAGTTTCGTCATTATCTGGAATAGTGTCCATTTAGGTGATAGCTACTACATTAACAAGTTACATGATATTTGTTTCAAGTACAATGGTTTTTTGGGTCGTTATGC